AACCTTAGTTTGTAGTAAATAACTTTCAAAAAAAGTAAAATTATCTAATAAAAAGAAATTTATGTTGGGAGAAATGTTACAAAGCACGTCAGATGAACAAGGTAGTTATCAAAGTAATAGACACCATCGAAGTAGTCATCATCATCACCATCAAAATATCCATCATCATCATGAACCTGTAGAACATGATGAGAATGATGGATTTGACTAGAATGACAATTCATTTAAAGTATAAAACTATTGTTAATCCTTAGCTCTATACATTAAAATATCATTTTTATTTTAATAGATAAACTAATACTATCTTTATTACAAGCAACATAGTTCTTACTTTCTCCCTACTTAATAATCATATTTTTGGGGACAAATTGGTCTTTTTTGATTTGCACAGTATAAATCATATATATATATATATATAAATTAATATTCATTGAATAAATATTTAATATTTTGTAATATAAGATTGCCCAATAGCTATTATTTAATTAACTTGTATATTGAATGATAATAAACATTGAATAATATTGCAAGTCTATTAGTAACATAAATTGTTTAATGAGATTTATAATGGTCAATCTCCTCACTATTGTCAAGTATAATATTGAAATTTCATAGCCAAAAAGTATCTAATATATATTGTCTCAGGTATATACTTTCTGAATATTTAAATTATCAGACAAAATTTCATCAGAAATACGACCCAATAAGATCTTGAAGATACAATAATAATGAACTTTATATTTTAATATTATTGTCTAAAATAACTTCTCGTAAAATAAATAAGTAATTTAGCTAAATCTATGTTAAAAAAATGGAAACCTTAATTTCTTAAAACTAATATACAATTCAATCTTACATATGAATATATAAGGAAGAATTACAAAGATTATTCAATAAATACCAGGCAACTTATAAAATCCCATAGTCAAAATGAGACATTATACGTATATCCTCTCAAAATTATAAACTTATTTAATAATTAATTTTATTATCTGTTAATAAGGATTATTCTACTAAGGAAGTTTAAATTATATCTTTGAATTTAAATATAAAAATTTGAAGATATTTATTTATATATCTAAGTTTATTTATATTTGGTACAAGATCGAAGTTATTATTACTTCAAATACAAAGTACCTTTAATGGCAATACTTTTTAAATATATATCATTTTTCTTATGTATTTCACTATATATCTACCTTATTAAATATATGGGATTGAATATAAGATCTAATGTATCATTTACTTCTTTAGGGACTGAATTATTGAATAAGAGTTCTGATGACCTAGAAAAAGATTATGAAGAAGTTACACTTAAACTATTTCATTTACTAGCTGATCTTGAACTTTATAGAAAAGAATGGAGTTCTTATTGTGATAGTAATCTAGATTCTTATGAAGATGACGATTTTTGTCCTACTCTAAATAAAGTAATTAAGAAGATTAGTAATAAAGTATCTTCATATACACATATACAAAGTGTTATAAGAAATTGTTTAGCTAAAAGATCTTTTGAAGAACTTGATAATGATTAAAAAGAAATTATGGAAAAATCTATTAATTAGTATCTATACTACATTGCAATACTATAGAGGATATTGTAAATATAGAGGAATATGTTGGTATTTAATTTGGCCATGCAGTATTTTAAATAAAGAATATAATTAGTAATAAAGAAGTGATTATATTTATCTTCTTAATTATTTAAATTTTACTATTATTGGCTCTAATGTGTTACTATTTGAAATATTATATAAGTGGTTTTTATTATTTAATTTAGTAAGATTTCTTAATATATTTACCATTTTAAGAGAGAAAAAAAAAGTGGAATTTTTGTAATTAAAATTTCCCACAATGGTTTTATAAATTTATATGTAGGATTTTTTTAATAAAATTATATTAGCTTATTTCTAATTTATTGAGTATACTTAAATGTGAAGTTATGAAGTAATTCTTTAGACTATTGTTGGAAATAGAGATTATTTACTAATGAAGAGTAATTAATAATTGAAATTTCATTCAATTAAAGTCTTAATATTATCTATTTTAATTGATATTTTGTAATGAAGCTCTTTTTCTTTTTCTAAGTTTAAGTTGACTTCTTTGTTGTATATCAGTACTTGGCCTTGGTAATAACTTAGCCTGCTCAGAATAACTATTTGTACAATCATTAATAGCACTTCCTACTTGTAAGTTAATACCAAATTTTTCTCAAACTTTTAATAACTTTTTCTTAATAATCTGTATAATTAAGAAAATTCTCAATACTAATTTGTATACTTTTTGAAGTTTTTATTAATAATTTAATTATTTCTAATATCAAAACAGATTGAGTAATAATAAATGATCTTCATAATATATAAATTAATATTTTAGGTAGATTTTTTGGTTCTTATCTTTAAATTATACATCTCAATCATTATATTACATTTCAATTTAAAAAATTGATAGTCTGATTTTGTAGTTACATCAAATACTAACTTTGGTTCTGTACTACTTAAGAATTCTGGATCTTGTCTACTTAAAATATCTAAACTAGGCCTTGGAATTGAATCTCCTATATTTAAAGTATCGTAAAGTCGTCCCATCACGAAATTGATTACTTTTCCTCCAGTGTACCAGTATTTTATCATGTGTATTTATATTACTAAAATATTTCAGTTTTTTCTTTCATATTATATTCTTTTAAATCAACATTTGAACAAATACTAGCTATTAATATAATAATTGGTTCCTTAGTTTCATAAATCCCGTACATCTGAAGCTTCTGCTAAAAGTAAGAGATCTAATTGAATATTCACATGAAACTTTTTGTAATAATAGATAAATATGAACATAAAAGAAATTTTTATTAACGAAGTTCGACCTAGTAGGAAGTATATAATCATAATTTGTTCTTATTGTAATAAGTATCATTTTTATATATTCTTCTGTTTCATAGTCATAACGAGTACCTTTATTTATATGGTCAATGAAAATACCCCATAGTTTTACTAGTACAGCAGGAATGTTACGAAAGGAAACCCAAACTTTCGATTTAAGGATATCTGAATCTTTTAGTAAACTTGCGTTGCTAATTGCTTGAATAGCAGCAATAGCAAGAATGTTTATTTGTGACATATCCATCACCATCTCTGCATTACACTTTTTTATATTTGAAGTGATAAAATATATAATTAAAATAAATAATAAGATATATTCATTTCAACTTATTTTATTATAATTCTTACTATTTTTAGTTCATATAGTATTAAGATGTATTATGTATTTATAGTGTGCAGCTTCTGATCATTATAGTATAAGTTGTAATTATATCCACTATTTTTTTAATAATTATTATTCTATTCAAAATAACTTATAAGTATAAAATCTTTTTTTTGTATTACTATTATCTAATATCTCAAATTATTTGATCATGATTGATTAATCTATTCATAATTAATTTAAGTGTATTTCCAATAATACAAACTTATAAGATCTACCAATTATAGTATAATTTTTATTAATAAACTTTAGATTAAGTAATATAAAAATACCTATACAATATTAGAATAGATATAAGAAAGTTTTTATTATTTAAGTGAATATTTATGACCTTTTTATTAAATAAAAGATTTCACACTATAGTTAACTATACATTAATAAATAAAAATAATATAAATCATTAAATAGATTATCTAAAAATAAGAAATTGATTTAATAATTAAAATTTGTAATAAAAATTTAAAATAATATATATAATTTGATATGTTAAACTATTCAGTAAAGCAATTTAAGATATATTACTGAATATAATAATTATTATAAAATATCTTATATTAAATATTATAACTATTAATAATAAAAAATTTTTAGAGTTTGGAAATTTTAATATAAGCTGTTAATTTTTTGATTTGTTAGTTTAATAAAGATAATAAAAACTTTTGATAACTATTTCTAATATATTATATACAATTATTTATATAAATTTTACAATTTCTTTCTTTGTTTGTACTAGTATAATATTTTGGAATAATATTAAATATTAATTTTTGTAATATTAATCTACAGATATTTATATATATATTCATTTTATTCTTTTTTTTTTTAAAATTAGAATGAAATTGTTCTGGTATTTGTCCATAAATAATTAAATATAATTTTAACAGAATTTCTAGATATTTATTAAAATACTTAATTCATTTATATCAATATTTTATTTTAGTACTAATAATTTCATCTTAAATTCTTTTTTTATAAATAATAAATCTAAAATTAATAAATCAATATTTATTATTTCTTTTATTATTATTTTATCTTAAAGGAGAAAAGATTTTTGGAAATTATTAATATTTTCCAATAATAATAATAATAATAATTTGTTAAACAAAGTAATGTTAATAAACCTTTAAAAATAAAATTTAATAAAATCATACTAAAATTTGTTTAAAGAATTGAGGTCCTAAAAGTAATCCATAATAGTTCTAATGATTTAGGATCTATTTGAAATACATGTTCAGATGAAATTTTGATTTTAGAATTATTTTATTTTATTATATTAGATTATAATTTATTAATATTTTAACAAATTGAATTTTTTTTTATTACAATATTAGATGTTTTAGACTTTCAAATGTATATAAAAAGGCTGAAATTGTAATAATTGTCTTTTTAATAGAACTATCATTCATATTAATTAATATTAACAATATTATTAAATTAAGTGTATTGTTGCAAAAATATCTTCTTTATATACAATATATAAGACAATATTTAGTATATAAGTTGACATTTATTTTTGTAATATGAATTCAAATTAATAACATTAACCCATTATTCTATAACACTTTAATGAAAATTTTTTTTATAAAATATATATTTAAATAAATTCAATTATTTATTAATAATAATTTTATAACTTTTTATATAGATGGAATAACCTTTTAGAGAATTATTAAATGAAAATCAATAGCAAAATTTAATTTATAATTTGAATAAAAAAAAAAAAGTAAATATATATTCTATAATAAATATTCATCTATATTAGTTTCATTTAATATATAATTTCGTTATAGAATCAATAGTATAATAGATATAAAGATATTAATTTAATACTTAATAAACATTAAAGATATCATTTTTAAAGAAAAACATTAAGAAGATCTATATCAGATTATTTGAACATTATATTTAATATATAAATGATCATATATACTTATATAACACGTACAGATATTATCAGATTTATTGTTATTTCAAATCACTTAACGACTAAACAATTTCTTTTCTATTTATACTTGGAGTTTTCTGAATGAACTCAAAATATTGATATTTTTACTATAATTAGAAATAACTTAAATTACTTTATTTTTAATGAGGTTCTAATAATTAATATATATATATTACCTTTAACTTTTAAAATAAAGATCTATATAAACAAAGTATAGTGAATATATAAGTTTATAGTTTTTTTAAGATTACACTAGAATAGTTTAAAATGGTACATAAATATATATATATATATAATAATGTATACAATTAAAATTTTATATTCTAAATTTTTATCAACTATAATAATAAAGTTGATTTTCAATCTTCGAAAATAATAAATTAACTGATAATATAAAGTACTTATTAAAGACAATAATAAAGTTCATAGATATATACTATATTTCTGTTTATACTTAAATATTTCACAATTTACTAATTCATTAAATTTGTCTTATATACTTTTTTTTCTGAAGCTACTTATTTTATTTGAATTGTCCTAGAAATTCAATGAACTTTTTACTGGTCAAATACTGTTTTCCTACGTATTGGATTATATTTTGAATTTTGAATAATTGATACTTTTGTTGTAGAAAATGGAGGTATTTTTGTACTAGGTAATACTTTACCTTGCATATTATTATGTTCATTTTCTAAATTAAACGTTCCAGATAACTTTTTAGTTTTCTTAATAGGCTTAGCAGAATCTTCTAATATAAAGTTAGTTAGAATAGAGTCTTTTGTTTGTTCATTCTCCATCATATCTTTTGTTATCTGCTTTTTATTTTCTTTTTCTAATTTTTTGATTTCTTGTTTTTCATCATTCTCTAACTGAACTTTACCCTTTTTAACAATAATATTTGAATATCCATCTGAAGTACTAGATGATCCACCTTTATAAGCTCTGAATGGTCCTTTTGTTATTAACTTCTTTCTACCAGTAGGTCTATATGGTAATTTATATGGAAGTTTTTCATCATACATAGCAGTTTCATGAGCAATTTTTCTAAATAATGCCTTTTTTTCAGATAATTCTTCTTTATCTGGAAATAATACATCACCTTTAATATAACTTGAGATATATATATCCTGTTCCAAAAAAGGAACCATTTCTAATTCAAGTGATAATAAATCTCGTTCTCTCTTTTCTTCATTTAAAATCTCCTTACGACCATTTATATTACTATTGAAGTCTCCAATAGGCTTTATTAACTTTATTTGTGGGATAAACATCCACAATCCATTAAATTTCTTTAACCAATCTAAACGTTCTTCAAATTTATTTTCAGAACTAATCATCTTTATATATGATTCACTTTTGTTCCTATTTTCTACAATCTTTTTTACATATTCCTTATACATCTTCAATTTACGATCAAATAATTTATTTTGGATAGACTTTATTAAACTTGAAAATCTTAAATTTGTAGGAGGACGCCTTATTACTTCACTAGACATATCAGTAATTATTTGACTTGGAGGGATTCCATGTACCTCTTCACATCCAGGTGGTAATTCAAACTTTTGGCTAGCTCTAGGATCGTATCTACCTATATTTTCTATAGCTTGATCAAATAAATTTTCTCTCCAATCACTAAGTATATTCTTATGAGATTTAGATAATAAAGGTACAAATTTGATATTAAAACGTCCATTTTGAATTCTACGAGTATAATTTAGAAAGACTTCCTCAACAGCTTTCCTCTGATGAATTTCTCTATCTAAACCTAATAATTTTATAACTCCATCTAAATCTGTAACTCCCTCTAAATTATTCACACGACTCTTAAACTCTATATTGTCAATATTAGAATCATATAATCTCTTTTTTTCATCTTTATTTAAAGTTGATCTAGATTTTCTTAATACAGCCATTGATATAACAGGTTTAGATACTTTTTCAATCTTTATGGGGAATTGAATTTTATTCTTCCGTTTATTTTTAATTTCTCTGTACCTTTGTAATATACTTATTACTGAAAGTAAACTATCACCATTCAAAAAGCCATCAGTAGCATACATCCTTGGTGTAGAAGTATAATCCACATGTCTTAAGCATTTTGTTTTATAATTTGACTCGACAACTCCTCCTTGCAATGTATTCTCTAACCATTTATCACGAGAACATATTGGATTTCCATCCTTATCATATCCCCAAATCTTTTTCTCACGAAATGCAAATGGATGAGTAATAGATAACCACAAATCATTCATTTGTTTCTTCTCTTGTTCAGTTTCATAATAAGTTTGTAGACCATATTCTTCAGTATCTGCCTTTAAATCAGGATCTCCTAATCCACCAAATACATCACCCATTGCAACATCTACTGGTTGAGGACCTAATGGTATATCTTTAACTCGCCTCTTCTTCCTTAGACGCAATAATTTCTTTTTCGCATCAGTATCATATTTCATGAATCTCTTTTGCTCTTCTTCACTTGGACTCTTATCACTATCTTTAGCTCCTTCAGATTCTTTATCTTCATCTATAATTGACATATCTTCATAAAAATTATCTGAACTAGATATTCCTATTACATCATGATTATCGTTATTTCTATCTTCCAATTGTCCCTTAGTCAATAAGTTATCATTTTCATTGATAATATCAGATTCTACTGAGACAATACTCACATCATTTAAATCATCATACTTTTGTAATCCTTGTATTTCCTCATCTTCTCCTAAGGCTCCAGGGACATATTTTAAAAAGAAATCTTCAGTATATTGGATATACTTATCTAACTCCTTTGGACCTCTAATGACCTCTTCGCAAGCTACGATACAAGTATGAAGTACAAGATATTGAGTAAATAATAATAGATCCTTATATAGATTCATGCTCTTTTTGAGGTTTTCAAAAAAATTCCAGTGTTATATAATAAGTATTACCCGTCTTAAAAATATAAGATTCAAATTATATCCAAAATTTCATTTTTTTGTTCTTTTTTTTAAATTAGATTTCATTTAAATAATCAAATTCCCACCACATTTTTAGATTCCGCACCATCTCCAGGCGCCTAGGATTCAATAACATGTTAGAATCACCACGCTTAAATCTTGGAAAGTAGAATATTAGGAAATGAAGGTTTACTAGGTGCTAGTAGGACTAAAATCTACCACATCGATTCCTATAAAACTAAGTGTAACTTCGGCTTTAAATAGTAAGATTATATCTCAATTTTGTGTAACTACACAATTTATGTTACCCAAACCACATTCTGGAGTCAAAGGAGTAGCTGGAACAGGGATATCATTAGCTAATTTGAGCTGTTCTTCTGCACATGCCATTATAAAGTCCATTTCTTGAACTTCCTCGATCTTCTTAGCTAACAAATTACTCTTTATTTCTTCTTCTTCAATAGCATCTTGTAAATCTCGCTTCCACTTCTCAACATTTGATAAAAGTTTCTGAGCCTCAAGTGCTGAACATTCATACTGATCTTTAATTACCTTTGTCTCCTCTTCAGTAGTGCACTTTGCTATTTGAATTTCCTTAAGTGTCCTTTGGAGTACTTCTAAAGCAGAGCTCCTAGCTACCAACACCGCAGAAACATCTGTACGAACTTTTAGTTGTTCATCTAATAAACCACTAAGCTCAACCTCTTTTTCTTTGCGCAATTTATTTAGTTCTTCAATTTGTCGTTTCAATTCCAATTCTCTAGCAAGCAAAAGTTCAGCCTCCTTTGACTTTTCATCATGTGCTTGCCTAGCCTCTTCTAATCTAAGTAATCTTTCTTCAATTTCAGCCAATTTCAAACTTAAAGCATCTAATTCCGTCTCTACTTTCCTAATTTCATCTTCTAAATTACTTTGAAGACTTACCAATTCATTTATACGTAATAGTAAGTCATTATACAATAATCTCAATTCCTGGATCTTTTTGCTCATCTCCTCAAGTCTTAATCTAGCTGCCTCAGCCTCACGAGCTTTCATATCAGCATCTTGTTTAAGTTTCTCCAGCATCAATTCAGCTTCAAATAATGAAGCATTAACAGCTTCAGCTTCTGCAGATTTAGTTCTAATCATATTTGACAATTTACCTAATTCAAATTTTCTATTATCAAGTAAATCTTTCTTAAGGCGAGCCTCTTCAAGTACATCCTGTTTTTCACGTAATGACTTGTCCAATTTCCCTTGTAAAATATTACGCAATTCAGTAAGATTATCTAGGAGTGCAATTCTCCTTTGGGAAAACTCCTCAACACACTTTAAAAGACGTTCCTCTTCCTTTATTAAAGGATCAATCTCACCTAAGAATCTTTCCCTCAAAGCCTTCTCCTTATCAAATAATCCTTGTAAAAGGTTATGAGCTTCATCTAATGCTTTCCTTAATTTATCTTCTGCTACCACAGCTGCCTCATAAGCTGCAGATAATTTTGCTTCACTTTTTAACTGTCCTCTCAATTGTTTCTGGATATTCAAAGCTTGTTGAACAGTATCTGTAGCCCTCCTAGCAGCTAACTGAGCATTCTTTGCAAATTCTCTTCTTCTCTCCTCAGCTGCTGTAGCTTCTAATAATGCCTTTGCACTCTCATTAGCTGCTTTGGCTCTGTTCTCAGCTGCTATTCTTAACTGCTCCTCAATCTTAGCAATCTCTGCAGCTTTTTGACTAATCTTAGATTTAGCATCATGATATTCCCGTATCTTCGATGCCATTTGAGCAACTTCCATAACTCTCTCCTCAGCTAATACTGCATCCTCATACTTCTTCATTGCCAATGTAGCAGCATTTGAAGCAGCAAATGACTGCTCAGCTGCATTATTTGCCAAGATTGTAGCTTCTCTTAATTCAGCTAATGTAATCTCCTCAAGTACAACTCCTACCTTTTCTAAATCCTTTATATCACCTGGATTTAAACATTTACTACCAATCACTTGAGAGAATAAATGTTCGAATTTTGGAGAAGTGAATAATACTTGAAGGCCTTTAGAATAGTTAGTTACATCTTCACCTTCTAAAGCAATGGCAATAAGCCTACCATCACTTGATACTGCATAACGAACTAATATTGGTAGAGGTACCTTCTTATTTCTCCCACGTACCCATAACTTCAATTTATTATCATACATCCATCCTGCACTTACCATATCCTCTATAGAACAGGTATTACTACCCAACATAGACTGAATAACAGACTCCTCAGATCTCGAACGTTCCAATAATACTGCTACATCAATTTTACCATTAGAAGGTGACATAATCACACCTGATGGAGAATATACAGGTGACAAATTCTCAACCAATCCTAAGGGTTCATGAGATAAAACTGCACTACAGAAACTTGTCATAGACATCTCTACATTAGGATTTAAAGTTCCAATTGGTGTTGAAAATTCAGGATGGAAAGATCCCAAAGCTAAAATCATAGATACAATACAATTTTCAATTTCATAAGTAGCAATTCCACTAGAAGTTACCTTAGGTTTCTTAGACATATAGTGAACTCCAAGACACAATTCATCATAATCACGACTTAATGATAAGGTTTCAAAGTATGTTGGAAATACAGATGACATTCTTAGAACTAAATTAATATCAGATTCAACCAAAGCTGCACAATGAGGTCCCAAATTTAAAGGTAATGGTCTATAGTTATTAACTACTCCATAAGCTCCTACATTAATTGACTGTGAAAATTCTGGAATTATTGAATCTTCAGCTTTACTAACAACGAATAATGAAGCATGAGAAGCACCACTAGAGTGTCGAGCTAAACGATGTTCAAAGAATAATTCATACTTGCGACTTTTCTTTGATAGATCTTCAATTTCCCTATACTCATCAATTGTAACAAGAGTTGCACAATACTCACACTTTTCATATGTAATATCTAGACATTTACTGCATTTAGGACCTGCTTTTTGACGACGTTTTAAAACTCTTAAACGAGCTGCCAATTCCTTTACTTCTATCTCAGTTAATTGTTCTTTTTTCATATTGCTACGGGCATCGATGAAACTCTTTCTTGCAGCTTCAATATGACGTAGATCTGCACTTGATAGACTATCAACTTCTTTTCCAGAATCATTAAATAAATAAGCATAGTAACTAGCACCTTGTTGAACTGGAGTAAAATCACCTTCACCTAAATATATATAATAATTGGAACCAGAATCTGTACTACTCATTAGTAATACTGTCACGAATCTATTTGTAAATGATTCAGCTGCTTCCATCAGTCTTGGAGTATATATTTTGCGATAGTCCTCATCAACCATCATTCTCTTCAAGTCAAATTCAACCTCAACTGTAGTAAATATTGGTGACAATGTATTGTTTACTAGTATAGAGTCCGCAAGAGACTGGCTAATAATCATCTCAATTGCAGTTTGATCTGCAGGCATTGTAACCAATCGATATATACGGCATGGAACACCTTGATCTACTAACTTCTTCTGCCTCAATTGAGCTGCCTTCAGAGACTCAGTAGTAAATTCCTCAGGTAAAAGTAAAATAGTACTCCGCACATAATCAGCCATATCGATTGTGACCTCTCTATACGGAAACATTGTTCCATCGCTTGAGGCAGTATTCAACAAACTGTTTAGTGGAACCGAATATGAAAAAATACCTTGTGGTAATAGAGCACCAACAAAAATAAAAAAAAGTATACGTGCTAATAACATTTTTCTTTAAAATAAAAAAAAACTGAATTTCACCTGACAAGTTTAATGGAACTTTAACTCTAAACCTAACGGTACCCCCAATGGACCTTCTGAGACATCTCACTATGTCTTTAAAAGATACCGTAGCGCCTTTATAGCGCCATTTTTCAAAATCGGGATCCTTGCTATATGGGTTTTGAAAAGTACATTTAAAATAGATCTAAAATTTTATCTGATCTTTGTGTTATACTATATATCTGATAGTATCAAAAAAATAGAATATCTTAAAAGGTTGTATTACAATTGAAAAAAAAAGGAAATAGATACCCTAACATTAATTAGCGGGACCTTTATCCCTTTTTACTCTCAAAATACCTCACCCTAAAAGTATTTATACTTTATTTCTATTATATAATTTTCCTTCTGGTAACAAATCTACACTGAGACTAGACGCTGAGAATGTTGTCATTAGAGGTTCAGGATCTTAAATTGTACTTGTAAGAAAATTAAGAATTTGCAAATCCCAGACGCTGTATTGAAAGGGTTCATTATTCACAAATGTTTGTTTTAATAATACTATAGACTTACGGGAATTACTTTTATTCTTTTTTTCGTTAATTTGTATTTTGAATTTAGTTTTTAAAAATCATTGTTTATCATTTTTCTTAGTATAATAATAAGCAGATAGATTATGACTGTTTACAATACTAGGAGTACTGTCAAGCCTGGGAAGCATTCAGTGCTGAAGAAATTAGGTTCAACTACCAAAGTATGTAAAGATCAGAATAGTTCAGGGAAATATCTTTTGCATAATTCTAATGATGAACTAATTCAAAAATCACAAGAGTTGAGTAACGAAGAATATGAAAGAAAAATTCACCATCATAACTTACGTCCAACTAGATGCCTAAGAGGAATATCAACACGATCAACTTATAAGAGGTCTCCTTCACCTTGTAAAGATCGTCCATTTGATGAAGCTTTATTGTATCCATCCAAAAATTCTTCATTATCTACAAATAATAAAGAATTAACTAAAAAGTTGATAGGAAGAAATATAATTAGTGATATGCGTAACAAAAAGAAAAGTCTTGGAAATTCAAGATCTCCTAGGTTCCCAATAAATTTAAATAAAGAGAAAAAAAACCATAAATCTCCAAATTCATCAATTTCTACAACTCCTAATAATAATCGACATCATCATACTATACATCCAACTAGATGCTTGAGAGGTGTATCAACACGTGCGACTTATAAAAGATCACCTTCACCTCGTAAGGATTGGCCATTTGATGAAGCAATTTTGTATCCCCAATCTTCAAAGAATACTATAAATCACGTTGAAAATAAAACTAAATCCAAAAATAAAATTAAAAATAAAACAAAACAAAATTCATTTAAAGGAAAGAAATCAAAAAAATCTTCAGTATCTTTGAAAGTTATTGAAGATTACTCTTCTAAATATTTTGTAGATAAAATGCCACTTGATAAGAGTAAAAAGCTTAAAAGTCATTTAATTTCAAATCTATATAGTCAAAAAGCACAAAATATTCCAACTAATATCTCTGATAGTGATTTCATTAAGCATGACCAAGAGAAAATTAATAGCAAAACTTATAATTTGGAATTGAAAGAAAGTAAAAAAAGGCCTTATAAAGTTATTGAGGAATCAACAGATATTAAATTACAAAGTGAAAATAAAAATAAAAAAGTTAAAAAAAAAACAGAGATAGAAATTGAAGAAAAAAGTTTATATGATAATATATATACCAAAAATGGTAATTCTTTAATGGATTATTTAGAAACTTCAAGTATAGCAACAGTAGAAGATGGTAATGAACCTTTTAAACTTAGTCCCAAGGCAGGATCTCATATAGGATGGGGTGAAAAAGAATTGAATACAAATACTTGGAGTTACAATAAGAAGTGTATAGGTAAGTTTAATAATTATTTTTAAATTGACATTTTGCAAATTTTTATGTAACGTATATACAGCCTAACTTAGCTTCAGATGAATATGATAGTATAAATCAAACTAGCATATTTTTGTGGAATGAGAAATACCAAAAATTGGAAAACCTTCAACATCATATGTGCATAAATGACTATCGCCTAGTTAGCTTCTCAAGGGATCGTTTCAATCCATATATCAACCATTGTTGGGTTAATGTTGCAGAATATATCTGGCAATTAGATAAAAATGGTCATATAGTAAAAGATTCTATAAATGGAAATAGTAAAATTACTTCTGAACTTCCAGCACTATTTGAACTGTTATTTATTAAGAAAGATTCTTTTGTAGGCTCAATAGTTCATCAAGTTTCATCTCTTTTCATTTCTCATGATGATATTTTTATTGAAATGTATAATCAAAGTTTGTTTAATTTTCATCCAAATATCGTTAGAATCGATGAAGTTATGCAAGATTCAATTTTTCCCTATTCAATATTCGTACAGGAATATATGCCATACTCATGTCTCAATTGGAATGAAAAATTCAGATATTATGAGCCTCCTACTTTACTTGAATGTTTAGAATCAGAAACAATGAGACGAGTTTATACTGAAACAGGGGCAAGAATTATATTTGGCCAAGTTCTAAACCTTGTAGATTATCTCCATAGAATTAAAATATCTGGAATATATTTAAGACCTGAATCTGTTAGAATCTCTCATGCTTTTGATGAGACCTATATGGACCCAACAAAAAGACCTCTAACAAGAGTAATATATAGCTCAAAAATTCCTATCGGTCATTCTATAAGTAAAACTAGACGAATAGAACTCAAATGTGAACTTAAAAAATTATGGAAAGATGCACCTACAATTGATGTTTCATCTTCATCTAGCATTGAATTTAAAACACTTCGTGATACACTTTACAATATTAAAAAGAGTATACATAAAGTTCCATATAATCATCATCTCTTTGATTATGCACTAATGACCAAAAATACAGTCCGGAAAATAAATTCATCTACAGGGGAACCTTATGTTAAACTTTCAGGAATATTTAAAGGAATAAGAACTAAGAAACGCTACGAAATTTTTTCAGGTAATAAATGGGTAGTTCCTCCTGAAACTACGGCCTTGTTATTTAATTTTAATCAATTAAATGGGAATAATTCAGAATTAAATCATTATAAATGTGATATATGGAATCTTGGTATTTTACTCCATTGCCTACTCACTGGAGAAGTACCTCTAATCCTTAATAACAGAGTCTGCATAAATACAAATATATCCTCTCCTGCCAAAACCCTAATCAGTCAAATGTTGCATGTTAATCCCAAATATAGAATCTCAACATCTGAAATTTTCAATTCCAGTTGGATGAGCATAAAAAATGATATTTTATAAAACTTCAATATAATTTTTATTTGAACTGATTTGAACCATGGAATACAAATATTCATCATTCAAGTATAATAGACAATCATAAAGGATGATTGATTTTTTTTTTTTTGACTATACTCTAATATTCTAATAAGTCTATTATTTTATTTTTCAAACATTTATATCTTTTAGATATTACTTATTATTTACTAACTTTTGGGCTACTAGGATAATTTTCTTTTATTCTACGATTTTTCAGGCCCCCCTAAAAAAATAAAAAATAAATATTCAATATAAAAATACTGATTAATGTTCACTGCTTCCATATTATAATTTTTTTCCTTTATTCCGAAAGTGTATATATCCTAAATGTATGCAAAATTTGTAGTCTTACCTAAAATTCTCAGTAAATCTTCTTTGCTACCCACTTGTTCTTGAGATTGTCATTTTAGAAGAATCTGGAACGTACTTCTTGGAAATAGAGTGAGAACTTTCTCTTAATCCTTTCTTCTGACCAGAATTTCTAATCACAACAAATTCCCCAAGTGGAACTTCCTTTGTAACACCACTTAATTCAGAAACTTCAAATTCATTTGCAGGTGAGGAATCATCTGTACTTGCTTCTTCAAAATCACCCAAATATATGTCTTTATTCATTTCTATATTTCTTGTCCCCATTTCAGGTTTTGATTGATTATCTGAGGAATTTATGTTAGATAATTCATCAGATATCTCCATTGAAGTCGAAGTATCTAAGCTATTGTCTTCCTTACGTCTCTCTTCTATATCTTTCTGAGTTTTCAATATACCCAATATATGAGCTTTTTGCTGTGGAGTTTTAAATGGATTCCTAGAATAAAATAAAAATTTTAGCATTCAATTAAATTTTAAGTCATATATACAAATAAAATATAAAAATATTTCATTTGTCTTTATTTGTATCACTTTATTTTACTATAAACTTACCTTTTCAATCTCTCAATTTTCTGATCAGATATAGTCAATTTACTATAAGATGTTTTCTTTTTCACTGGAGACTTTACCCTCTGAAACTCTTTTTTAATTACACTTTTTGGCTGGATATAATTTTTCTGATCTGTGTATAATATAGAAGGATGATGAGCTAAGTATACTTCATCAAAAGATAGCTCAAGCTCATTCGGAAGATTCTCAGACCTATCTTCCAATAATGCACCTCCTAAAAGAACTCCTTCAACTGGTTGTAAACCATCTAAATTATTACTATTTACTGTTACTGATATTGGGGCTATTCCATCACTATCATGTGTATAGTGTCCCACAGGCTGCAAACCAAAATTATCTTGAATATCAATATGTGTAATTGGATTGTTTTCTGGATCGAGAACTACAGAACTTAATCCAATATCAGCTTTATTAGTTTCTCCAAATACTAAGGCATCACTATCCAGTTGTATACTTCCTAAGAAATCATCAAATTCCAGTTTTGTATCTTCGTCCTCTTGTTTCTCTTCTTTTTGTTTCTCTTTATCTTGATCATCTTTAGAACCTGATTCTACTGTAGACTTTTCGTCTGGAATTGCAGAATTATTCTGAGTCTTATCTAATTCAATCTTTTTTAACATTTCTTTCATCTCTTCTAGTTCCTTAAGTAGTAAATCTTTTTCAGTTATTAACTTCTGTAACTTTTTAGTCTGATCAGGGATTTTAGATTTATCTCCACTTTCAACTGCTTGATCATATAATCCTCTAGTACTTTCAATCAACATTAATTGTTCTCGTAATTGCCTAGCCTCCTTTGATGATTGCACTGGAGACTGCTTTTTCGTTGGATATTGCTTAGGGAATATATAACCATCATCTAATAGTGGTTCTAAAGATGAATATCTTTTTCTTTTATTTATACCTGAAAAGTCCCAAGGAATACCAGTATCTGATCTTGATATTGATTTTTTATTTTTATTATTTTCTCTTAAATCAAAACCTGTTTTCGTGTCTTTCACATGTTCAAAACTTTGCTTGCTATTTTCATCTTTAATTTTTTGAAATAAATTATAAAGTGCTGAATCTTCTATATTCAAATCAGAATTTTTCTGTGATGTTGATGATTGTTTATCTATATCTAAAGTACTTTTGTCTTGCCTCTTTTTATATGGGTCTAACTGGCGAGGTTTAGAAGATTTAGAAGTTGGTAATTTTCTCGAATTTGAAAATTTTAGGTTATTCATTCTCATATAAAGGTCTTTTTCTAATAATTCTTCCGATTCTGTACCTGATATATCTTTATTAACTTGAGATTGTAAATCTTCTTTTTTCTTTCTTAACTTAGATAAGATTGAAATACCTTTTGAAGGTGGCGAATGTCTACGTGTAAAGATACCCCCTGTAGTATGGAGGTCTTTTTTTAATGATTCTTCCAATTCTTTACCTAATATACCTTTAATTTGAGGTTTTAAATCTCCTTTTTTTATATTCAATTCGGGTAATGTTGAAATACTTCCTGAAGATAGTGAATCTCTATGTGTAAAGATACTCCCTGTAGTATGGAGGTCTTTTTTTAATGATTCTTCCAATTCTTTACCTGATATACCTTTATTAACTTGAGGTTTTAAATCTCCTTTTTTTATATTCAATTCAGGCAAGGTTGAAATACTTCCTGAAGATAGTGAACTTCCAGTTGTTTCTATATGTTTTCTAGCTTGTTCTTGTAAATTTGGAGTAGTCTCTAAAGACAATAAGCCATTTAGTATATTTCTGTGTGTTTCAGTTTGTTTGTGTAAATTTTTATTAACTTGGGATTTAAAAATTCCTTTTTTACTTAAAACTCCAAAGTTATTAGAATTCATTCTTTTTTCCTTCTTTTTTTTAATTTGATCTTCTAAACTTAGGGCAGCTTTATATGTTAAAGGTTTGTTACTCGAAGACTTCAGTGAAAATTTATTTTCTAGGTTTGAAAGTTCTGCAGAAAATTCCTCATTTTCATTTCTTACTTGCGTAATATCCACATTACTAGTTAAATGACTATTTTTATTAGTTAACTCTTGCCGTTTTTGGTTATGGGAGGAGTTTATAGCATACTCAGAGGATTGAGAAGGGCTTTTTTTTAATATATCTAGAAAAGATAAACTATCTCCATTACTATCCGAACTTACATCAAAATAATCTTTTTCTAAAGGATATTGTTGCACAATTAAATTAGAGCCTTTTGAACTGTCAAAATTACAAAGTAAACAAATAGCCAGTATAATTATCCATCTAATATATATCCTCATAACATATTCTTCGGATTTTTAAAGCTTTAAAAAAGTGAAGCTTATAATAAAGCTGTATGTGTTACCTATAATAACTTAAAATTTATTTTAAAGAAATCCTTTAATTGTTTTATGAGTTACGTTGAAAAAGGGAAGTTCAACCAGATCTTTATATAAACTTGCCGCCAAATATACATGCATTTGAAACAAAGAACATATGTAATGGACAACCCACTACCGGTATAGAGTACACTATGTTATAAATTAAAATTAAAATTATCTAATACAATTAGAAAACATACTATTTAGATATGGTATTTCTAACTATAGAATTAAAATGTTCGATTTCTTTCGCCGAAAGAGCTAGAATCTCATCAATTACACTTTCATCCGTGTTATTATCTAAAAATACATAAAAATCAGATCTTTTAGGTGAATAAAATAGATAAAATAAACCATAATCAACTATTTTGTGACAGTGAAATACATGTTTTAAGCTGCATATAAATTTTCCAAGACGACTAGCCCATTGCAAACCACCTGCTACTCTTTTTATTGATTTTAAATTTTTTGAAATGAATAGTGTAGAATCAATATTCATACCTTCATCATTCATATATTGTTTATCTGCAATCTCATCTAATGTGGAATTTTCTGAAAAAGATCCTTCCCTAGTTAGAGTTTCTTGAGTATCAAGAGCTTGATTTGAAAATTCTTGAGATTGATATTGTTGTTGAACCGGAGATTTAATACTCAATGGAGATTTCAAATTATAATTTTCTTCCTTCTTAGTGAGTGAATCAACTGAATATAGTTTTTCAGGATCAGTTTCAATATATTGTTGCGTAAGCTCTTGTTTCTGATTTTGAATACTGGTATCACTCCTATTATGTAAGTCATATTTTAAAGTAGATGATACAATATTGGGAGACTCAACTTCAAATATTTCTATCAAATCATCTATGGGTTTTACTTGAGATATATCAATACCAGGTTCAAATTCACTTTCCAAAGATTTTAATCCATCTTTTCTTTTTTTTATCATTTTTCTTTTTGGTACATAAGTTAGCTTTTGTTGGACTGGTAATAATTCCTTCTTTTCAAATTTTTCAACTAAATCCCGGACAAGACCCTTACTTCGTATTATTGGTTTTCTAGTAACACTTCTTGGAATAGGTTTTACTACTACTTCTGGTGTTTGCAAAGGAACTGGTTCTACAGATTCAAATGAACTTGGAGATTTTTGTAAATAATCATTCTCCAAATTATCTGTTGGTAATACTCTTTCTACTTGATCCTGTGCTCGTGATAAAAAATTCTGATCTTCATTATTTTGTGATTTAGGTAATTCATGGGGTACTATTCCAATTGGTGACATTGGGGTTAGTGTAGGACTTGGCTTGTAAATTTCTGGTGTCTCTATATATTCAACTAAATTAGTTCCCTTCTTTTGTGAAGAGGATAATCCAAGCATACTGGGAATGTTTTCTGAATATTCAGTTTGTTCTATTTCTTCACTTTGATCATCAGAAATTTGCATTGGAATAGGTAATGAAGATTCATCATAGGATATCTCACTTGGTATATCACTATTTGGATCTAAAGAAGTTAATTCAATAGAATTACTTTCATCTATTCTTTTTTTCGCTTCATCATCTATATTAATAATTTGATTCGTATCTAATAATGAAAACTCAGATATTTCATTATCCAGATTAGTCCCATGAGTCTCACTTGTTTGAGTCTCATATGTTTCTGTAGGTAATTCCATATTATCAGCAATCTCTTTAATCAATTTGAGAGCTGTCTTATGTTGTAAATCTTCAGCATTAATTTCATCTTCAGGAGAAGTTTCCTTTAATATATCATCAGGATATGAATTTTCTTTATATATTAGTGGATTAATACTTGAATTTTCCATAATTGTGTCTTCTCCAATAATTTCATCATATTTATCATCAGAATTTAATGTAAATGAAGAATTAGCTAATCTATTTTGTATAAGACTTGATTCTTTAGTTCCAGTATATTTGGGGCTCGTGCTTGCCTCTTCAATTTTTTTCTCTTCGCTAAGTGTTATATTATGTATATCATCATTCAAATGTAATTCTGTTTCATTAGATTCCTTTTGGATGATCTCATTATCTTCTAATTCCGGTTGTTCATAGAGTAATAATTTATTAATATTTTCACTATCCTGTGATTTATCTAATTCTTCAGACTTTTCAAGTTCATCCAAATCTTCAGTATGAGCTATTTCATATTCATCGAAATTAGTTCCAATTTTTTCCTTAAATCCCCCTAGATAACCTTCAATACTTTCATCTTGATACTTAAATTCAT